TAATATATAAGAACAAGTAAATTCATATAGGACCTTGTACAGATTTGCCTCAGTTAAATTTTATTCATTAAAAAGTATTCAGCGAAGATATGTACAGAAATGGAATTATATTACAATAGGCAGTATGAAAGACAAATGGACAGCTGAATGCGAAGTAATAAATAGGTTCTGAATACTGAGGTTGATAAATATCTGATACATTCTCATATGAGAACGAAGTTAAGGAATAAGGATAACCAAGAGATGTGAACACACCAATGGCTTTGAAAGAAGCAATTTAACTAGGACGAAAATTTGGTCCTCTAACTGTAACCCTAGTCTTCCCTTAACTTAACCTTAATCCACTCCAAAATCTCCCTAACCTATCTCTAGCCTAGCCCTAATCTTTCCCTAACCTCACTTTAAACTAAGTGGAAATCCATTTTAATATTTTTATACTTCTTTCAAAATCCTTTCTTATGAACATAACGCTATTTATCTGGTTTCACTGCCTAGCTCTGACGAAGCGTTCCAAAGGCTATTGGTGAGTTTACGACTGTTGGGTATCTGTCTTTAAACTTCACCCATATAAAAGAACAGAATTTGGGCAATGTGTTAGGGTATGATTCCATGAGCAGTAAGTAATACTCGATCACTATGCGTGTGTGTGTTCCGTCAAACAAAATGAGTCTACCATGGAATATAATACATTCAGTTAATTGCGATCGATGTGAAGTCATGTCATGGGAAACCCGAAAATGCTGACTTCTAATGATCTCAACCACACAGCTCTTACCACTCTCTCTCTCCGTATAGCTCAGAATAATAGTAAGAGACTTTATTAGGTTAATGTCACGGTTCTGTTAGGCTATGGTTATCAGAGGTTGTAAAAGCCCTTTCGAATCTAATGCAATGTACAACCACAGGACTTGACGACTTGCTTCCGGAGTCTTTAAAGATAATGGTGACGATGAATTACAGACTAGATTGACTAAACTACTAGAAAGGACAGGAGCGGTGTAGATAGTTGATCATGTCAGCTTATAATAAAAAAGACGGATCGTTTTATGGTGACCATAGCACGATCACACATTAATAAAATTTTAAGGTCCATAGTTATACAGAGGTGGAGAGAAACAGATGGACTTTTAGGCTTCGATGACAATGTATTCATCATATCTTTACCCTTCAATACATCCTGAAACACTGATGCACTGGTGTCCAACACTTAACATATTTTTTCACCTGACGGTAGCACTTAACACTGCCAATCGAGAGGTGTTTACATAATTTTATAATGATAACAAGTGACATGTAATAAAAGCCTCTGTCAGAAAGACAGGCTAATACAGACTACTTAAATCAGATTATTTTTAATAGTTCATACGTATATATCAGATGTGTACATTTCCTACAGATTAATAAACGTAAGAATATGATTATACAGTATAATACCTACTCGTTGCTTTTCAATCAGCTCCCTTTGTCTTTTACGATTGGCATCAATGAGTGACTCTCGACGCTTGGATTCAGATTCTGAACTCGTTACATGTGAATTATTATTATTACTACAAATGTTTTCGGATTTTTTAACCATTTTATTATTGTTGTTTGCCTCACTGAAAAATACAAAACATGCATTAATTATTTAGCTACTGAAACAAAGTTGTTAGTAATAAAAAACGCTTGATTTAAAAAAACAAAATTATAAACAACTTAGTGGGTTAGAGTCGTAGAAATTAGCTAACAAAATTTTTAAAAATCAGCGTTTAAAGCAGTGAATAACTTTTGGACGGCTGATTCCTTTGTTGGGAGTAGTCCATTTTATAAATAAAATGCTGAGAAATAAATTCTTTATACTTATTTTTTTCGTTCTTTTGAAGCTTCTGTGACCACGGTGTTGTTTTTATGAAGGCAGGGATGCTAGACCAACGCCCAACTTCTCCTTCTTATCAGGCTGCCTATCGGCTAGTTAAATCGGCGAGGTTTAAGTATGTGTTAGTCAGGAATCGAACATGGACCACATGAGTTGTTGTCAAGCATACTATCATAGAACCACGGACACCATAAGTTCAATAAACTGCAATTCTTATATGAAAGAATAAGAGTATAGTTTTGTCAGCATATGATGTCAACAAACTCTCTGAAATACAACAAGAAGAATTTTAAACTGATTTCAAGATGCTCAACGATGTAGTTGGTTACAACAAATATTTAATGAAGCATTGAATTTCATAGACCAATAATATGATTTAAATTTAATTACTTTATTTTTACTGGCCAATGAACAAAATCTAATTTAACAGAGAAAACACGAAGTTCAGTAAATATACCTTTTCAGTTATCTCATTTTCAATAACCTTATAATCGCCTGACTGAGTGAGTTTCAACAGAGAACTTTGCACAGAAGTGCAACACTTCAAGTTGCTACACTCTGTGTAACACATAACGATGGAGAAGAGGAAAAATAGATTCAAAAGAACTACAATAAGTAGAAATATTCTGAAAAAATAATAGTAACATGGTATAACATGAGGACTTAATGAATCTGGAAGGTTACAAAGAGTGAACAGATCTGCTCATTTTAAGAACGATTCTAAGCCATATCACTGATTGTCTCTAGTCACTAATTCTTAGCATTCAAAAGATCCTAACTGGGCAGTCTACACGTCCCTGAGTGGCTGACTGAAATCAACTGTCAGACTTCCTAAATTAGTGCTAAATTTCGATTTGATCATCCCTAACCTTTTTTCCAGACTTATCCTATGTCAGCTCAAATAATCACAATTTATATGTAGAACGTAAAATTGTATGGAAATTACGATTGTACAGCTCTATTGAGAAGGATTGAATTTTCAACGCAGAATATTTCAGTAAAGTGTAGATATTCAATTTACTACACACTTCATAAAGTGTAAATAAAGGAAGGGGAAAGAAAAAATGAAAGAAATGTGCAGGAGATAGGACAATTTTACAGGTTTTTTTCTCCTGAGCGCCTCTTAGTCCGTGCAGAATTATGGAACCTAGAATTTTGGACGTTATTGAGAACTTCTTTCCTCTCTGACTTAAAAGAAACTAAAAGCAGTAAATCTAGAGGTAGTTTCTTCGTAATACTCAAACGAAACAGAAGTCTCTAACTCTTGCTGTAAGCTGTCACTTACCTAGCTAGGGTCATCGTGATGCGAAGTAAAAAAGAATAGATAGCCTTCGTTATGTACCTCAAAATAGTTCACAACATTAAAGATAGTTCCAATTCTTATCAATTTAGAAATCCTAAACACTTTCGATAAAATTCGCAAATTACTCTCCCCTTTTCACAGTCATGTTGATTTCTGATATTAGAATCGACAGGAAGACTTGGATCCAGGTTTCTTGCTAGTTGGTGGCACCAGTCAGTAAGACTTATGTACAACTTTGAGGGCACTCATGTCCCATCTGAGATACGAACGCGTGTCACCCAGTGTTGCAGTCAGAGGCGTTACCACTGAGCTATTCAGGCTCTCAACTAACCTCCGGTAGCACTGCATTAGATAGTTTTGACTGCATAATAGTTAGTAACTAGTGGAATCTGTCTAGTCTCTTATTTAGTGCAGACTGAATTCTACCAGTCAAGTCTGCAATATGGCCACCATGCCAACAAATACGAAACCTAAGTCTAAGGCTTCCTGCCGATTGCTTCCAAACATCTAATATCAACAATTTACAGTGCACCGTGATTTACCGGTGTCAATTTACTTTTCTCAACTTACTCAGACGCATAAAATCTGTCCTTAGTGGTGGAAATATTTAATGATGACAGTTTATGTAAAGTAGCAGTTATGCAAGCGTACTAGAAATATCGAAATGAACAGTTTGTGGACGGGGTCGGGTGGGTTGAATTATCCGAGAGTAGATAAAGGCATGAAATGACATCTGTTAGGAGTAACAGAAAACCAAGATAGACTGAATAACTATTTCATTGTACACTGAGACTACTCAGTGTTACGCACCAATGATCCCATAAGATATGAACCTCAGGACTGTCAAACTTCGCAATGGACACTTCTCTGTTCACTAAGTAGGTCGAAATCTAATGAATCATGACTCCTTATATTTTTCTGCTCGTAGTATTTAAGGAATCATTCAACATGCTTACTATATGATATTTTTTAAAATCTTTTTTATTTTCATTATAGATTGACTGCACACAGTGTTTTGGTACAACTATGGAATTTACCAGGCCAACCATTGGATATCAGTTGTGAGTCGGCCGGGGATCGAACCGCGGACCATGTACATGGTCAGCAAGCGTCCTAACTGTTGTGCCACCGACGCACACATGATACGTCTGAATTTCGTCTTCCATGCAAAATCTGAACAGATCCAAATAAGAATGTAACAGGTAACTGGTATTTCTCGATTTTCAATACTTCATTTTTACTGATTTCATCTCGTGACGAAAACCTATAAGGAATATCATTTTTATAATGAAATAGATTCATTGATACAATTTGCTAAACAATTAACATACTTTAACTTGGATTTTTTAATCACTAAAGGTTGTTGTTGTTGTTGCTGTTGATGATGTTTCAAGTTGAAAATACCAATTGAACGTTTATTATTTATTAAATTTATATTGTTGGCTATTTTATCACTTTTTCGTTTAGAATGTCGATGAAGTACTGTATGACTAAATTCTTCAGCCATTTCCTATAAAAAGATAATAATAATAACAATAAAAGATACAGATTAATAGCAAATGATACAAAAGTTTCAGATAAAATAACAACAATAATAGGGAATAAAAAGACAGTTAGTTGCAGCGAAGGAAATTTTCTTTTCGACGAAGTCACCGTCAACTAGGCTGTACATTCGTGTATTTATAACAAATGGGTAGGAAGATTCCAGAATAATTTCTGGTCAAGGGTCAGATTAATAAAATTACAATTAGGAATTAAAATGCCATAATAAACAGGGGGACAGATATATATATATATATATAACTTACCGTTTCTGTTAAATATCGATAGATGCGTTTTGACAAGAATGGTTTTCTTAGGATATCATTAATACTTGGCCTATCCCTAAAATATAAAAACAAAATTCATAACCAGTGATCTGAAAAGATAATCTGTTCATAGACTGTCAGAAAAAGGTTACATAAGAATTTATCAGCTATCTAAGTATATACAATGAAATATTGGTCGGCTGTAAGAGCTTGGCATGAAACTATGGTTAAAATAGATTTCCTTGCACTGACCAGTAGACGAAATCAATACTTTCTCATAGATTTGAACCTTCATCATTCAGTGCTGCTGTCAAAGACATTATAACTGACTTATTCAGAGTTGCCTAGGTTTTTATCCATAACTTGTGAATGAAATCACCGATCTTTAAAGTAATCTGCTGCATTTCCTTGGAAGTGGAGATGTGACTCATTTGCTTAAGCATTTCACTTCCAGTTGATGAGTTATTGGTTCCAGTCTCACTCTACCAACTGGGTAGTACCGCCATTCCTACGCCACTCCGAATTACAATGAGTATGCCTTACACAGCCTGGCGCATGTTCAGAAGAACCGAGATAATGAACTTTGCTTGGGAGTTATATTCATCTTGGAGATTATTTCACGCACAACAGCATTCCAAGAACCAGTCTCCTTACTAAGTCACACAAGAAGATGCAAGCTATCAGATTGTGATTATCGGAATGCTTATGATATAACTCTCAAGGCTCATCGTAGTGTTATAGATATATTTGTCCTCTGTTCTCTTCAAAATTCTGAGCATTAATTGTTCTTTTTCCATACACATGTTTATTTATTACGATATAATCCTATGTCCGTTATCTTCTTCTTTATGGTCTGTTTTGAAGTTGATTTGTCAATTAATTTGTCAGCTAGTCATCATATCACTAAATAACTAATTATGATTCTAAGCTGTCTAGAAAAGTGTAGATAATCTAACCTTGAAACAATAAAAATCATTGGTAAGGGATTCTAGGCGTTGTGGAGTACAATCTAAGTAGTCATATGTGATGTGAAGGCATTCGCACTCCTTCATCAGAACAATAAACACACCACCTTTTCTTTAATTTCACTATTTTTTTATTTTCTATTAAAAATTAATTGTTTTCTCTTGGGATTATTTGTAGGCTGGGTAGTGTACTTAAGTGTGAAGTCAGAAACAGAAGGAGAAGAATTATTTAGTGGCTATAGCTAGGAATGAAAGGAGGTTCACACAATTCATTTCATTCTGGGATTTCAGAAGACTCATTACTGAACAGTGAATATTATTTCTAATAATTTCTCTACCAGGTTCTACAGATTTGTGATCATAGTAGACTTATTCTTAATAGCAACGTTCATTTGCAAGATAATACTGAATCAATAATATCAACAGTTCAAAAGAATTTTTGAGTGCTAATATGCAAAAATACAACAACAAATTGATAAATTAGGGAAAATAATTTAGAAGGCTAAGCACGCAAAGCCCCGGTTGTTTTAAACGAATTGCCATGGCCTTTGCTGTTTGGAATGTTTGCTATTGTAGCGGTAAATAATTCCCCAAAATTATTAACCACAGCAATCATCACTCAACATTGGATGCTGACCATCACTGTTTAAGTCGACTTGTTTAGCTGAAGGCTTACGGTCAAGCATCCCCGCCATTTGGTGCTCCGTCGTGTCACGTGCGTGCACGATTACTAGCTAGCTAAGCATTCACCTCTACCCGCGATTTTGTCCCGAAATATAATACGTACTTTGGACGACAAAATCTGGTCTTTTGCTTTACCATTTGGTACTCGAAGAACGAACACTATAGAGGTTGTTGGTATAAGATCTTGCGTTAGTATAATCCGTACAACTCGCGAACGTCGATACCTGCAGCCCCCTAAACTGGTGAGCCCAACCACGAACTACATCTTCAATTCACACGCAGATAAACCCGGTGAGTTCGTTCCTTTTTGTGTTTATTCTTGTACTATATTGTTATAGGCATATTTTTCGTCATGACTGACCATAGCCCCAAGGTTATTCGCATACGATCAACCGCCAAAACAATCCAGCTAGCACCATATTGGCCAGATAATGCTGAAACGTGGTTTCAGATTGCTGAGTCTGATTTTTGTGAACATGGCATAACTGATCAACGTTCACAGTTCCTTGCAGTTATTCACGCCCTACCGCGGGAATTCAGCAAGTGCGTAACTCTGCAGATGTCGGTAAGTAACTCGTACGAGTTGCTCAAAGCATCCCTCCTCAAGAGAAACGTTCTCACGGATCGACAACGTCTGGATGAGTTATTTCGTAACATCGAGTTAGGAGATCAGTCAGCCGTGAGCATGCTGGCAAGAATGAAAGAGATCATTGGCCAAAGTCAGTTCGATGAAGGACTGTTCAGAGAACTGTTTTTATCCAAACTGCCACAGTCAGTTCAGACTGTACTTGTGACACTTCAGGGTGTTCTCATAGATGATTTAGCTGTCTCTGCAGATAGAATTCTAGAGATAACGAAACGGCCAGTTACCGAAGTATACTCTGTTACCGAACAGACTTCGAAGAAGGATTCTGCAATGATAGAGTTAATCAACTCCGTCCAGCAGATGCTTAGGTCAAACAAGCCTAGCAATTCCTCCTATCGTCGTTCTAAATCCCCTCAACGGCAAAGCGCACGTGGACGATCTAAGTCCAACACACGCTCTCTCAAAAATCCTGACTGGTGTTGGTATCACAACACCTATGGCAAGGAAGCGAAATGTTGTCGAAAACCTTGTGATTTCGGCAAAGCCTCCAAGTCTGTGGGAAACTATCCCGCCGGCACGCGTTAGCGGCAACCGTCGCCGGTGGCACTAGCCGCTTACTTTACATCCATGATGTAATTAGCCAGACTAGATATCTAGTCGACACAGGCGCCGAAGTCAGCGTCCTTCCTGCTACAGCAGCAGATCGACAGAAGGATCCTAACTTCAACCTACAGGCTGCAAATGGAAAACCAATTGCAACCTATGGTCGGAAATACGTCTATCTGAACGTAGGTTTACGCAAACCTATTCAGTGGATTTTCCTAATCGCTGACGTCACAATGCCCATCATTGGCACGGACCTACTTAATCATCATGATTTGCTCGTAGACGTCCGTCGTAAACGACTAATTGACAACACTACTAGTTTGTCTATCAAAGGCATAACTTACGTAGGCCCCAGCTTGTCAATCGTTAAGATGAAAGCAATCCTCGATCCAACTTTTCAACCGATTGTCGACAAATATCCGGAACTGAATTGCCCATCTAACGACCTCCCGTGTATAACCAGCAATGTTATGCACCACATCATAACCTCAGGACAGCCCATGACATCTAAAGCACGACGACTGGCCCCTGACAAACTGAGAATTGCCAGAAACGAATTCGATCATATGCTCACTCTTGGCATCATTCGGCCATCGAATAGTCCATGGGCATCCCCATTGCATATGGTACCGAAAAAGGATAGTAACGATTGGCGACCCACTGGTGATTACCGGCGAGTGAACGCCAAAACAACCCCTGATTGCTACCCTTTGCCTCACATACACGACTTGACGGCAACGTTATCTGGAGCATCCATATTCTCCAAAATCGACTTGGTTAAAGCATATAACCAAATCCCCATGGCAACGGAAGATATTCCGAAAACGGCTATCATCACGCCTTTCGGACTTTTTGAATTCCTACGTATGCCATTCGGCCTCCGGAATGCGGCCCAAACATTCCAACGCTTCATCGATGAAGTATTTCGCGGTCTCGACTTTGTATACGCATACTTAGACGACTGCCTCATTGCCAGTCCAGATAAGGAAACTCACCTTAGACACTTGGACTTGGCATTTGAAAGGTTACGCCAACATGGTGTTACCATCAATATACAGAAGTGTCAGATAGGCGTTGACTCACTCGATTTTCGGGGTCACACTATTGACTGTCAGGGCATTCGCCCACTGGCTACTTCTGTCGATCACTCTAAGAAAACGCGTTCTGGACGTCACGTTAGATTCCCAGAATACCTTCACACCTATTTCACATAACTGAGTGACACATCAATTTTTTTTATGTTGCATCATTAAACACAAGTAAATGATATTTTTCCTATAACCGTACATAAAATTAAATTAGATGTATATTTTTTTTCCCGATATTTTGAAATTTACATTATTTTACTGTATAGTAGATGCATGTCATATTTTTTTGGAAAAAAAACGCTTATTTGGTACATTTTTCTTGACAAGGTTCTCAGCATTCTTGTTTTCTTTTCCAGGTGCAACGGGCACTGGACAGGAAACAAACGAAGCACGGGATCCAACGAACAACATTGAGGAAGCTATGTACAGACACCCTATTAGCATAGGCAGACAGACCAGCAGGCTCTCGATCAAGCCGCTCGGAAGATTTTTTTCACCCATCAGGGAACCATCGAGATTTTTTTACTTCCGGCTGGTCATGTCTTAGGGTCCTCACAAACCCACTAGGGGGGGAGTGAGCTGTAGCGGTAAATAATTCCCCAAAATTATTAACCACAGCAATCATCACTCAACATTGGATGCTGACCATCACTGTTTAAGTCGACTTGTTTAGCTGAAGGCTTACGGTCAAGCATCCCCGCCATTTGGTGCTCCGTCGTGTCACGTGCGTGCACGATTACTAGCTAGCTAAGCATTCACCTCTACCCGCCATTTTGTCCCGAAATATAATACATACTTTGGACGACAAAATCTGGTCTTTTGCTTTACCATTTGGTACTCGAAGAACGAACACTATAGAGGTTGTTGGTATAAGATCTTGCGTTAGTATAATCCGTACAACTCGCGAACGTCGATACCCGCAGCCTCTAAACTATCTAGAGGCTTTTGACAATTTCTTTGGTGCCCGATAGGTAATAACCTCGCCTAGATTACTAGCTCACTAGTTTTCTAGCCGGTCCCAAGCCCGGATAAAGAGGGAGGGTGGGGCGTGGTGCTAGCAACTCCACCCCCAAAACTTAACCAAACTGCTACAAAAACTTCAACGCACAAATATATTCAAAATTCTAAAAATACAAACAATAACCTTATTTTTCGCTGGAATCGGGGAAGTGAAATGATGCTGGCTGGTGAAAGCCTTCGGGAAGCCAGACAGCCGATGTTGTTGGCTTGTTGTTGGCTCTACGACCTATTTGGACCAGGTGATCTAATATAGGACTGCTGATGGTTTTAACTACGCTTTTATTTAACTGCACTGGTAGGTGTTTCCGAGCACAAGAAACTAAGTTCCTATAACAATGGTCAATGTAAGTGGATTGACAGTAGCTGTTAAATCGATAGATACAATAAGAGTTGGCTAGCTCAGTTACTTCGACTTCCGGTTTCGGAATCGCAACCGGTTCTGTGGAAAGTACAAACTGCAGCTTAACGACATTAGACGTTCTTTGAATCGATTTTCACAACTTTTTGGTTATTATTTCGCTTGGTAAATCACATGCAGTTGTACGCGGGAACAACTACCAGTATAGTTAAAGCCGTTAACAGTTCAATATTAGATCACCACGTCCGAACAGGCCACAAAGCTAGAATTGAAGAGTCTTTTTCTGTCGTCTATCGGGTATCGAACAAAGATCTCTATATACCAAACACTCCAAACAACTTAGGACACTGCAATCCGCTTAAAACAAAAGGGGCTCTATGTGGAAAAGAAACAGGTCCAGTCATTACTGTTACTCCGGCTTAATGTGGAACGTAAAAATTCAAAAGTTCTCTATCACCTTTCTTAATTTATCTAATATTCACTTTAATTTTATGCTGATGCATAACATCATCACTGTAATATACCGACCCTAATAATTCGATTTTATTTAAAACATTAATGTCTTTAATAACTATAAATCTTGAATTATTATGAATTCTTATAACTGTAGATCTTGATGAAGAGGAAGTTATCAAAAAGAATATTCCTGTTTCAGTAATCAGTCTTTTGAAATTTCTAATGAGCATCTTTAATCATTGTAGAAGTGTCAGTTGAATGAATTTACCTCTGAGTAAAACATTGTGCATAACGAAATTAGAAGTTACTACACATGGTTTCAAATATCGAATACATTCAGCTGAAAAGTCATAAACACGGAGAAGTGTGCTAATCTCTTCTAAATATACAACTAATAATTTCAATGTAGGTCCATATAAAGAGCTATACGTCGTCAAAATGCCATTATCAACAGGTAACAGCACTGGATAAAAGGCCATAATCAACTGAAATCTACCAATCAGATAACGCATAAACTGTCAACACTAGATTACCAAGGTGACGCCCACGCACTTACACTTCCCCTGACTAGTATATTTCAGTCTATTGACAACAGAACTAATCAGCTGATTAATGCCTTCATCAGCTGACACAGGAAACACCCGAAACTCATCAAACGTAAATAAATAAAGCGAAATTATGATAAATTTGCTTGTTGTATTTTACCTTGGATTTCGACGAAATAACTGTGAAATTAAACTTCTCATTTCATAACTATATTTCGATGAAACAGGTGGATAAGTCCCACTGTAATAAAAAAACAGGAATGAAAATAAATAATTTCATTCTACCGTATAATTTTCAACACCAAATTTTTCATATTACCAGCTTCAAACTGAAAAGAAAGAGAGAAACAAAGAAGTTAGTTTCAAAGTTTCATAATTACTGCATGTTTCAATGTTGTCATCTCGTAGAGTACACAACCAAGCGCCCAGATATCACTTTTATGATCATATGGTTTATTTTCACAAATTTCTGGTGATAAATAATACGGTGTGCCAATACAGGTGCGCGCCAAATCCAAAGTGTGATTTAATACTTTAGCAATGCCAAAATCACCCAATTTTAAACGACCTTTTGAAGTAAGGAATACATTCTGTAAAATAAAAGATTAATTTCTTTTTGGAAAATGAAAAAAAATTCATACCTGTGTTTTTATATCTCTGTGTAGAATCATTCGATCGTGAATATGCTTCAATGCTAATGAAATTTGAACAAAATAGTCTAATATCTTTTGAAAACAAAAGTGGAGCAGTGAAGTGAGAATGCATTAAAAGGCGATTACCAGTGTTTCTGGCATTAAAACACCATTCTGTTTATTGATTTTCGTATAAAGATCACCTTGATCACAATACTCCATAATAATATATAACCAGCCTGATTCTTTACAAATAGAATACAAAAATGGAAGGAATAGAGAATTATTCATCAAAGTTTAAGACATTACCTTCAAATGAATCACAATATTGAACAATATTTGGATGATTCATTTTCGAGAGGACAGAAACCTAAATTTGGAAAAAATAAAATAAAATTGTGAATACATTTCAGTAACGAATTATGACTTAACAAATGACTGAGTTTCAAAATAGAAGTTGACACAGAAGTACAACAATTCAAGTCGTCACAATCCGCGTACCATTCAAAGAGAAAGAATAGTAACATTGGAGGACATGAAGATATAATAGATACGGAAGATTACAAATAGTGATTGCCTCTGAGCCATTGAGGAAGATTTTAAGCCATACCAATAGGAGTCGCCAATCATCAGTTCATATTACCCCAATCAGACAGTTTCTAACCCTCTACGTTTGTATTGGTACTTATGAAAAAAACCTAATAGAGACTTATATTACGTTACTATGTTGCATTCATAGACTTGTTCGCTAAGTCATTCAGGTGAGAATGGAATATTCATTGAAAACATTTTCCCCCTTACTCAAGCCCTTTAGAATAGACAGAGCAAGTATAAGAAAACTATTGAATTAGTTAATACCTACCAACCACTACTCCTGATCTAGACGACCCAATCCTACAAATGGGTTAGTAGTAATCTTGATGATCTTAGAAATCAGTGTGACGCAGATTTAGATTGAGAAGGGAAAATAAGTCTTTTACATTCGAAGGTATAACTTTCTATCAACTTTCGACCTACCTCAGTCAGGGTTTCCGATAGACTGACCAATAATGTTTTATACATGTCAGTTAGTGTGAATGCGAAATGAGTCGTCTTGAAATAAGTTATGGTTCAGTTATCCTCCAAACTCACTATAAGACCAGTTTTTCTCGTTATAGTTATCTCGTATAAGTTAATTACAAATCATTTTGCTATTCATTACTTATAGTCCCTACGGAATGCGGTGGGAAGAACCACATCATCAACTGGCAGTCCAGTGTAAACCGACGACTCTTGGTTGTTTATGTTACAGATAAGTGTAAAGCAATTGAAGAAAAAAGAACTGAAACTTGGTTATTATTAGGATCTTTAATTTATACACACAGACGCTAGGTCGAACTCACTCTCGATGAGTTCCTCTTCAACTTTAGTTACTATTTGGAGATTTAAAACTGACAAGCCATACAATTTTGAATTACTGTTTTACTGTTTTCCAGTTCAGTGGTTCAAAAGCAATACTCGAATGGGAAGTGATAGGTTAAGTGTCTGATGGAGGAGGTCGTCAAGAAAAAATTAAATTTTGTGTGTAAAGTACAAATAACCAAAAAAGATAGTAGGGAATAGAGTGGAATACAAATGTGCTGCCGTAGCCCCATGTTACTCTAGGAATCCAAAGAACGAATAATAATATAATGATAAATTATAGGTTTGACCTTTAATGATATTAGAGTAATCGATTTTGTAAATTAACCTCAAGAAAACAAAGATGGTGGAAAATCTTTCTTATAATTAATTAACTGATGTCGACGTAATATTCCTTAAATTCTACAACTTGAATGTAGTCTATGAGAATTAAAATCTCATCTGATAATATTCAAACTATATTATAAACTGGCAGTGATGAGAAAATACAGGATCGTATTTCAATCCAATTACTGGATAGTAACATATTCATTATACGATGTGAAAATCTTCAGCTGATACAAGCAAGAAGTCAGCGGTACTGAGAAAATTCAAAAACTAGGATGAAGCAGTTCTCTGACAGTAGGTCACTTTTAATATTGCTTTAACTGATATTAGTTCATAACAAAATCTATTTTCAGGTGTGATCACGGATTGATATTAGTTAGAGAAGCATTGAAAACCAGGAAGTGCTGGACAGCTGTTCCGTCCTAGTTTTAGACTCATCACCAGTACGTACCCACAGGGTTTCAAAGCCAGGACCTTCCACTTACAAAGCAAGCTCGTAGATCATTAATCTGACAATGTAACGCTAATATTAGCTCAAAAAATTGTAAGGATAACCAGTAGCTCAAAATTTATGTGTTTAAATTAAGCAGTTCTCTGCGTTGAAGATTTAAATCTCAAGGATTTCAATATCATTCCATAGATCACTATCAATTAAATTTTACAACAACATGTGAATGGTGATTATACGTCGTCTGCACGTAAGTCAATGGAGTTCAGACACATAACCTGATAATTATAAAGCAGCATATGTCATGGATTGTATTTTACAACACAGTTTCTCTATAGATGCAATAATTTCAAGGTGGTAATAAAACTCTTAACTAGAAAACAATTAAAATATATTCTTTTAATAGTACCAGTCCAACCAATTCTCTAACTGATGTTGGTTTGTGACGAAATCTACACTGGTATCAATCCACATCTATGCAAAAACCCATAATCTGAATATCGATCGCTAGCTTATTAGTGGCTATTGGATGGATGTCTTGAAGCTATACTATGCAGTCTCCACCAGTAGAGACCACTTTTTCAAGGCAAAGTGGATTGTCATCTAAGGCATAGGTTAAGAGGATTGCTATATCGCAGATTGACAGACGTCAGAACACACAGGTCCTTGAATTCCCTCTCAAGTTAATGAAACTTCATTGGGATTGTTCTCGTAACCTGAAGGTCCCTGATTCACCCACTGGTAGGATCGTAGATTAGCACGACTAAAGAGTCCCAAACCAGAGCAAAACAACTGCTCAGCTTCTCCTGGTTTTCAGTGATCTCCATTTGATTTTGCTTTATAAAGAAATCTACATTGAAATTCGGCATTATGAAGTAAACATTTCGAGCTAACATTATCCTCCATTATTTCTTTCTCACTAAACGACAACAAATTTTGTTACTTCAGTGGAGATTTCATCATAAATCGATATTATTAAAGAGTCATTGAAAATTAAGAAGCACTGCAAAGCTGGTTAATTTCAGTTTGAGAATCCTCAGCAATGCTCACCAACAACTCCACCAGCAATCCAAAACAGGACCTTCAGGTTATAAGGTCAGTCCGTTGACTACAAAGATATTGGACTGAAACGTGATGACCTGTGAGTTCTGACTTCTGTCACTTTAAAATACAGCAGTACCGTTAAGCAACGTCATCGGTCTTCGACAGAATCTACGCTGAAATTAACCCGAATTCCTAAAAATGTTAAAAATCTGAAAATTTGCAGCACTAGTCCAGTTCTCTTATTTTCAAAATTCACTCTGTAACTTTAAAAGTACGATTTCCCGATTTGTTAGTCGAATTAAGGATTCACTGAGATCAAATTTTTGCTCAGAAAATAAACAAATAAACAGATTAACCTGCGACCTAGCACAATGGTGCACTAGTCCTCACTCTCTAAAATACAAAGATATTATGTATCATATAAATTAATAAAGATGTTCAGAACTATATTACTACTGTCTTAAGCTACATTACTTTCAGAAGGCCATTGTGTAGTTCTCTCAGTCGTTTTATTAGAACAGCTGACATTGAAAAATTATTCGGAAGAAATCCAATAAGAGACACCACATAAACGAATTTTTGTGATACAGTTACTAAGCCATATGCCTTTAGCGCTATCCAAAGTAACTTACAAATTCATCGTTCTTTATATTGAAGTTAATATAACCTTTCCCACTTCTTTTAAAAATTAAAGATGTCACTTAACGCTTCCTCTGAATAACTTTCATGGAAGTATAGAAAACTAATGGAATAACCAAATGAAAACTGATTAAATTAACTTCACCAAAGAGATGATTGAAAGGAAGATGAAAAAGTGGGATTTATATGGTCAAGTATTGTGGAATGTTGTATGATGGAAAAAAGAGGAAGTGGTTAGATAAATGTGGCATGAAAGTTTAGAGGAATATTAGGTATGAATGTTTGTCTCATAGATTCTAAGACAACAGTCACAGTGGTTAACTACAGATATCAGTGCATGTCTACTCTACTAATCTACTATACGGCATAATATAACCACCTTTATTTGTATGTCCTTCACTTTCCCCATGCTAGAGCTACTAATATGAAAATAATTCAGTGTGGACACCACACAAGTAAAATAAAACCAAGCTACCTAGGTAGATGGAAGTCCGTAATCTCTTCAACAAACTTCCAGGTCTTATCTTAAACAACTCCATACTTAAAAATCCCTACCGTGGTGATCTCACTAGCCGTGGGATAGTACAGTGCTTAAATGTGACATACAAAGCGGACAGTAGGCATAAAATACAACCCTGCTGTCACACATTACTTCAGAGCCTTAGTTAAAATTATGAAAACATCCTGATAAAATACGGTGGGCTAAAACACCGCAAAACAATTGACAAATTCACTTTCAGGTGGATTTTCGGCTTTGTTTTAACTAACGTGGTATATATATATATGTTGTGAAGCTTCGACAGAGAATATAAAGCAAATGTGCACGAGTTATGTAGTGCATTTTATCAAAAATACAGGCAGGAAGTAATCACTAATATTTCAATGAAAAAGTAGGTAACGGTAAAGTGACTATAGGGTTGTAGCCCTATTAACAAAATCAGTCTCTACCAAATAATTCCTGAAAAGGACAGTGTAATTCATAGAGGTCTAGAAATTTCGAAATTTTAAGCCTTAATCATAACAGCAATCTTGGGACTCATTGCTTATCTGTTTACTCAATAAAACAAAGGATGAATGCATTATTAACATTAGCTGTAGATGATACAGTAACGAAGTAATTGTGCAAATAAATGGGAATTCGCTGTCATCTCTTTTAGAAACAAGTTACGTACACATACAAATACCAGATAAATCGGTATTAATTATTGTAATCTAGATAATAGCTATGCATCATAACGGATAGACATGCCGTTATGCATATATACAATCACCGAAAACAAATATTTACCCACCTCTTTCCGAGCTTCTTCTCTTTCTTTGAGAGTCATCTACGTAAATACAATGAAGAATTAAAGAGATCAGAAGTACTTTGCTTATATTAATTTCTTTCATAACTCTGTGTATATTCTCTGATTTTGATAAAACCAGTATTGCTTTTCCAAAAGCTCCCTCTCCAATATTTCCGACTTTCTCATATTTTATTAGATCAGACATTTCAGTCTACAAAAGTAATGTCTGAAATCTTAATCCTCTGAAATACAGATAAACAATGTGGATACCATGGAAACTGGTATTCATACGAAGCGCGATGCTATCATTCGACATTTAACATCTTTTGTACTGTTATGTGTGACTAACGGTTTCCAATATCCAATATCCAATATCCTGATTACGAGCTAGTATAAACCAGTGATTTCTTTGAGCTCGCTTCTTGATTTTAAGGTAGAGGTTCCAGATCTTCGGTGAACTTATGCGTAGTAAATCCCGCCACTCGACTGCTTTAGCTCTGGTAGACTCCAGGAGGAGTGATGCGAGGATTGGTCAAGATTGTGGTTTGTAGTGTGCAGTATGTTAGGACTCAGCTGCTGCCGTGAATGGAGTTTGACCTAACACCCGTCGGTCATTCGGTATAGTCATAAAAGTAGAGTAATAATAATAATAATGATAATGATAATAATAGGTTGTAGTGTAGATAATATAGGTTGAGATAAGTGAAATAATAAAGAAAGAAAGAAAGATAGAGTAGTCGGTACAGTGGGAGAAGACAGGACGGGTCGTGAAGATTTAGCTTGTATGCTTATCCATTGACAATGTGGTTTCAAATTTTAAGAGGGTAAGCCATTGAGACACAAACCATGCATTTCTGCATGATTGTCCAGCTTCCGCTTAAAAATCTCCACAGATGGAGCTGTAGTTACGGCCGCCGGTAAAGCGTTCCAGAGACGGCAAACTCGAAGCGAGAAGAAATGTGAACGCACTCGAGTCCTTGGTCTCTGGTGTGCTATCCTTAGCGGGTTACCTCGTGGAAGCCTATAATCACTTAATGGCAGGATGCTCTTGTTAGGATGGGCCTGGTCATTTAGGATCTTATAGACGGTGATGAGGTCTCCCCTGTGACTACGGTAACTAAGTGTGAAAAGACTTAATTTCTTCAGTCTCTCCTCATATGATTTGTTGCGGAGGCCGATCACCCATTTTGTCGCTCGTCTCTGGACACTTTCTAGCATGTTAGCATCCCTTTTGAGTAGCGGAGGAGCAATGATATTATGCACCTCAAGGAGTGGCCTCACGTATGTCGTATACAACGTTAGGAATAGTTCAGGAGTAAGAGCTCCCAGTTGCCTATGCATAAAGTGTAAAGTGCCGTAAGCTTTGGCGACGTCCCTCGTGTAATTTACACTGGTGTCTAGCTTTTCTGTTAAAATAAGGCCTAGATCGCGTTCTGATGGCACACAACTCAAGTTCTGGCCACCAAGGGTGTAGTTTGCACTCTGTGACCTGCCGGAATGAAGTTGCACTACTTTGCACTTCTTTAAGTTGAAAGGCATTCCGTTAGCCAGAGCCCAGTCCCCCAGCGTTTGCAGGTCAGCCTGCAATCTGTCGGAGTCTTCCGATGAGTTTATTGCTCTCCAAATCTTTACGTCGTCAGCGTAAAGAAGCGCAGAGCAATTCAGTTGACAGGGCAGGTCATTGATAAAAATCAAAAACATCAACGGCCCTAAGATAGAACCCTGAGGAACCCCTGATGCCGAGGTGTGCCAGGATGATCGGATGCGGTTGACTTTGGTGCAGAATTCTCTCTCGCCTAAATAATCTTCCAGCCATGCGAGAAGTGCTCCAGAAACACCCGCTTTGCTTATTTTGTGAAGGAGCAGACCATGGTGAACTGTGTCGAATGCTTTCGCAAAGTCGAGAAAGATCACATGGACTGGTACCTTTACATCCCAGGATAGTGTCCAATCGTTCCAAGCTAGTAGAAGATTCGTCACACAGGATCTTCCCTTCCTGAAACCATGCTGTGCTTCATGGAGTAGGTTAGTCCCGTCGAAGTATTTTCTCATGTGGTCGTCAATGAGACTTTCGAATATCTTCGATATCACTGGGAGTAGCGCAACTGGTCTGTAACTGGTCGCGTTCTGCCGGTCACCACCCTTGAAGATAGGGGATAGGATGGCTCGTTTCCATTCACATGGAAGTTTCCCTACATCAAAGGAGTGTTGAAACAGATCACTTAGGGGTTGGCAGAGACTTTCTGAACACTGCTTCAGGACGGATGGTCTTATGTCGTCGCAACCTGCAGACTTTCCCGAAGCCAACTTTCCCAATTTTATGAGTACCATAGCCGGGGTAATTTGAAATGTACCCAGCAGGTTTTCGCACGTTGGTCTTGCATTGTAATCTTGATGTTTTGTGAGGGTAAAATCCTCGTTACTGTTCAGTTGCCTGTGAAAGGCTAGACTGAATGTCTCTGCCATTTCAAGACTAGTAAGAGATTTCCCATCAGAACCCACTATATTGCAAGCTCCCTGGTTGGTCGGTTTTCTTTCAGACATAAACCTGTATAGGCTTTTGGGGTTCACGAGAAGCTTATTGGCGAGGTTTCTCTGAAATGTCCTTCTATCACTCCGGACTCGTATGTTACACCGATTCCTGAGTTCGAGGTACTCTTCATGTTCGGGTTGACTCTGCGATACTCGCCACGCAAACCAGGCTTTTCGCTTCGCCTGTAGAAGGCGTTGTGTCCCCCTTTTTAGCCATGAACGTTGCTTTCTAGCTTTAGGTGTGACCAAAGGAACAGTGTCTGAGATCGCCTGGTGAATGATCTCCTTTACCACTCTCCAGTGTTCTTCTACTGTAAGCTCTGTCCAATTTTTTGGCCAATTTGCTTCAGACAAAAGTCTTCGCATTTCGGTGTAATTGGCTTTGTTATAACACAGATAGGGCTGTGTATTGTCCCACTGTAAACGCTCGCGGAGGACTATGTCGAATGTTATGACCGCATGGTCACTACTACCTATGGGAGTCGTGATCTGAACGTTTTCCACTAGTAGCTGGTCACTAGTGAGCACGTAATCCAGTCTAGAAGACTTCCCATCTGGGCCCCATCTAGTATCCATTCTGACATTTTCGGTGAATCCGGCCTCCGTGATGGTATGCAGCAGATTTCGATCAAATCTGTCCTGGGCACATCCCGTCATCAAGTTAAGAGATGGGGCATTGAAGTCTCCAGCTATGACAATTTGATCATAACCCATGTCATGTGTCGCTGAAATTGCATTCAGCAGTACCTGGTTGTGGTCTGCTCCACATGAAGGTGATCTGTAAATGCTGCCCACTAGATACTTACAGTACCCAACGGTGAAATGGCACCATATGGAGTCAGGGAGCTCAATGAGGGGAGGGTCGATTGCATGGACACATCTGAGCTGTTTGTCGACGTATATGGCGACTCCACCTCCTTCTTTCAGATCCCTATCTCGCCTGACAAGGACCATATCATTTATACTGACTTCGCTGTCTGCCACCGTAGGGGTTAGCCAGGTTTCCGTCAGTATTATGATTTTGGAGTTCAGCTGTGATTGTAGGTATCTAAGTTCAGCTATTTTGCCTCTTAGACCTCTCACATTACTGTACAGGCAACTGGTAGTCAGTCTCACCACGTCCCCGTATTGGGGGGTGGTTGACGTGATGTGGGCTGTCGGTTGAGGATATATACCTTTGGTACCCCGGTGTCACATCTACAATGTACCCATTGCTTACAAAAGTTACATTCGAAAGCAGAATCTGCTTGTTCGACAATAGAATTGCAGACCTTGCAATCGTCTGCCTTCTTGGGGAACGTTGTAGTCGTCTTGCGACGTCGTGAACGTTTCTTATTGGCCTTCCTGTTTGTTTCAAGGCCTACTGTGGATATAGGTGTCATACTATTCACCTGTTTGCTTAGTTTGGCTGAAGCTCTGGTGACTACGGTGCATGGTCTCCCATTACTTATCTTGGGATGAGAATCTATAGTCATTTTACTCCTAAAATAATACCGATGATTAAATGATAAGAGAGAGTGGAGTTTTGTCCAATAGACTGACAGCAAAAGACAGTAGAAAGCACAGAACGGAAAGATAAAGTATATAAGTAAAAGCTTTTGACTTTACCTGTAACTTTCGGGTTATTCGGCTTCACAACAATCACGTAACAGACCACCAAGTCCTGTATATTTGAAAGAGTGAGGGGGATGTTGCTACAGAAGTAGCACCTGAAGCTTGGGCAGTAGTTCGAGACAGTGGGAAGTACTAAACACAGGCTCGGTGAAGAAGAAATGGTTGAATAAAATTCGTCGGATAGGAAGATCAGGTTTCCCAAACGAATTATTCACAAAAGTGGATATTTCCTGTTAGAGAGGAAAATGCACGTCGTATTCAAGGAGCGCGCGGACCTTTCAGGGCACTAATGTATAGATCTGAAGAGTCTCACTTCATACTTCCGTTGTATACTCGTGATAAATACATGAACTTTATTCTTTACTGGTTCTAGATCTGGGGGGGGGGAATATTTTTTGTTCTGAGTCCATCAGTGTCACATTACGCAAGTTCACAAGATTAAAAGTTGTCTGAAAATCCATAAATATTTCTGTTACTCCTGTGACACCTGAAGAACAAAAAAGTGCAAGGATTAGTATTCTTGAAGCAATGATGAAAATTCCCTCAATAAAGCGTCTAAACGAACATTTGAGTCTCATTTTTTCAGCATTAATACCGAGAGTTTAACTCCATGACTAAGTGGTGACCAAGATTTGAAGTCTTTCCGATATCTGGTTGGCAATCTTCTTTGCTCTGATAACCTTTACATGTCTGAAAGAAAAGTGGCTGGGAACCCCCAGTTTAAAATACTTAACTATTAGTAAAACAATCTTGAGGTTACAGAAGTTGAAAATATGCAGTCACAATCCTGATATTGCTAAGCGTTTGAAGAACAGGTGCGGCGTGTATCACCATGAGTTGGCGTGAAATTGCTGGTAAGATGGCAGTCATAAGCTTCCGTCAATATATGAGGACAATGTTATTACTATTAATAAAAAATGTGAATGGGACAGTATGTATTTGGAAAAAGTTTACCAACGCTAGTCGCTGTACGTGTTGCTTTCACCCTGTATCATTTTTGAGAAAACTGCTGAAAATTCCATGAACGGCAACAGTGGCACGAGCTGTAATATGTCAAGTATGGGTAGGTGACCTTTTCATTAACGACGAATAGTTTTCTCGCACTTCCTCAATAGCAAGCAGTCAAACCAGATAGTTTGATAAGAAAAGACTTAGCTGGAGATGATGATGAGCAG